TTCCGGCGCGGGTCTCCGTTCGAATCTTTGGGTACCACGAGCTCTTTGCGCCTAAGCGGTGTCGAAGCTTTACATGCCTTTGGTGTATACATCGCTGTATCTGTGTATCTTTCCGCAACCGACATCATTTGTAAACCACTTACTACCAACTCCACTTGCACCCTCACTGCATTGCGCTAACCAAGTTCCCAAACTGAAATCCAAACTTCAGTATTATTTACATATTGTTAGCTCACTAGTTTCCTACAGTTCAACTCATATAACTGTTACTGATGTATCTTTATTTGTCTCAACTTGGAGCCAGGCTGATGAATAGATGGCAGTTCTGAGAAGCTTCTGCCTCCTCCTCCTGGCCCTAGGTTGATACCATACCTTGATGGTAATCAATGATGTGTTCGCCTCCAATTGTGGCAGTAGGAATACCTATGAGGTCCCATATCCTGTGTAGTAGATCATCAGTAGGCCCTCCAGGGGACATGGACTGAAATACTACCTCTGGGGAGCCATGTCGATGTCAGGGGTGTAAGAGAGTGTATGCACTGCTGTTTATCAGAGATGGGCATCGAGAAGAAGGATCACATGAAAGCACATCAGTTAACTCTCACACACCCACAATTATTGCAGAAATTGCTAGACGCCATGAGCTTGCAGGCCAGCATCGGTACGAAAAGATGGGCAAGGTTGACGCCTTGGACTGATCGTGTGAATGATGTCGCTGTCGGCTAGGTAGAACAATACTGTTGGGGAAGACCATACTCAAGGAGCGGTTTCATAGTGAGTATTGACCGGCACGATGGAAGAAATTAGATCTGTTTCATTCGTATCACAGAGTGCTTATCGGGAGTATGTTGATCACTGGGCCGAGCGAACGGAATAGACATCGACAGCAGTACTAGGATCGAGAATGAAAATCTTCTTTGGATCACGCGAGAATGTTATATCACGCTGGTGACCCAGGCTTGGGAATGTTGCTGAAGCCGGGTAAATACATCAAGGCTGCGACTTCCGTGGTTGATCACAATCAACGAGGGGAGATGGTTCCGTAAAATGGTAAGTATGATTGGATTACTAGGTGTGATGATGGTGGATCCAGACCAGTCAACTATCTGGTCCCAACTCCTCTGTGTCTTGGATCGTTGTCGTGGCAGTTCTTCAAACCTAATAGTGCAAAGTTAGGCCTGATTTGATTCACATTGACAACAGGAAACGAATTCGAACATCTTGCCTGTTTTCCTGACCGTCGTCGTCCCTCCCGAATTCTTCCCCTTCCTTCCTATAAAAACGGTAGGCACGTTAAATGGGAAGAATAAACATACATGCCGATAAATCTATCGTGGTCCTGAAGAGCAAGCGACACCGCTCCTCATTCTCGATAGCGTCTTCGGCTCCTCGCACCCACACTCTCGCTCCGCAGCCTGCAGTGGTTCCCTGCACCCAAATAACAATCCGCGAGTTCCAATTCCACTCCACGTGTAAAAACTCACCGTTCTATCTCCCTCTCTTTTATCTTCCTCGTCCTCGCCGTACCGCCACCGTCGGCATCGGTATCGACGTCGATGCCCAATCCTTTCGCAAAATCCACGAGCTCGCGTCGGGAGAAAATCTCGTCCTTCTTCAACATCCCAGCAACGATCCGCCGCTGTTGATCTTCCTCTTCCTCGTGCAGCCTCTCGAGCTCCTCGCGGTGTCTCCGAAAACGATCCAACATCAGCAGGTCCTTACCAGAGGCCGGGTTTCTGTGTCATGTGGATAGGCCTCATCGCAGATGATCTCTGGGATATGAGGCGGCAGGGGTGGTCGACCTCGGGATAGGGTTGCATTGTTCCGAAAAAGGGCCTTGACTTGGGTGGCAATACTTCGTTTAACCTGACCAAATAATCTTCCGTTCATTATATTTTATTTCCGTGATGTTTCAGGCAAGGAAAATGACGGTTTTTGGCTGCAGTATACGACGACCGACACTGTCTTGGAGATTAATCAGTCTGGCATGCAGCAGATGCTGCGGAATCCAAGAGATAACTGATTCATGACGCGGACCGACTGATTACGACTGTTTTCACGAACGAACAACAGACATCGATTCTAGAACATATCTATGTCACTACTACCTTCGCTGACCCTCGGCGAATTAGCGACCGACATCCAGGGATCATCGAGAAGCTCATCGATGGACGCCCGTTCCTCCGGAAGCCACCTGAGCATCCGCTTCAGAAATCCAATGAACATCTGCTTGTATTGAGAATCCGGAATAGTAGAAAACACGGCCTCAAATGTCCCTTCGTTCCCGGGCGGATAGTAATTTGCATACAGGAATTCTCCTGAAACAAGCTGTTAGTAAAATGGGGTTTTCAACATTCAATAACCCACCATTGCTATCAAAGTATATCTTTCTGCACATGGGATTTATCCTGTTTATGAGTTCCGCAGGCGGGGGTCCAAGAAGACGTATAATTTGTGCAATTTGTACAATGATGTTGAACTTTCCTTTAGAATCCAAACCCATAATGGGCGATTCCACGGCCAGACAATCGAAGACCTGCAAGTCGGATGATCGTGAGCAGAAGCTAAACGGTGATGGGAAATTCGTCGTACCAGTGCGCCAAGGTTCCAAATATCAGCACTATATGACGACGCGATTCCGAAGCTAACTTCTGGCGCACGATACGGATCCCGCTGGATAAATAAATCGCACAGGCCTTGGTCACCCCGAACCGCTTTGCCGAAGTCAGAGATCACAGGAGCGGGCATGCTTCTATGCAACACAGGTCCAAAGTCACTGTCTGACACATAGATTTCACGATCAGGGAGAATCTTCTTCACGGCAGAGTTCTCCGAAGCGTATTCCTCGTACTCCAGCAAAAACACCTTGGGATTCTCTAGTATGAAAAGAATATTGGACAAGTTGAGATCTGAGGATGGCGTAAAGAAAGGTGCGTCGTTGTTAGAAAAGGAACGCACCAGTGTGAATGATATGGCAATCACGGTGGAGATATCGCAGGCCTTGGAGAACTAGCCTGTAAAAAGCCATGAAAACGGGGAGTGTAAAGAACTCCACGCCGGGGGTATCTTCACGTAAACGACGCTGAAAGACATTGACAGGTTCTCGCTGGGGCCAGTATGCTAAGCAGTCATGGTCTCCATGAGGTCCTTTCAGCACGAAGCTACCATACAGAGTCCGGACATAGGCGCGATCAGGGCTAAATGGATTGGCATCAGTTATAAGCTGCGCCATCCTAAGTTCATCGTGATTTCTAGACGCGTCAACAGTCAAAACTTTGATGGCCACAAATGGGTAGGTACCGAGACCCAGTCTGTCAGGCAACCCTCGATTAGCGTTCATGTCGACAGACTAACTTTCCAACTCACTCGCCAATGTATTTGGCAAGCCAGACAGTTCCGTTCCTCCCATAACCAAGCTTTCTAATGACCTTGTAGATGTCGTTCAAGACCTCGCCTAATCTGACTGGATAATAAAGGCGTGCATCATACTGTGGAAGGCATTCTTCCTCAACGAGGATGTTGGGGTCTATGATAGTAGAGTTTGTTTCCGCCATGGAGCAGGCAAAGTGAGAGCAGTATTTCGATCAGGGAGGATGAGAGAAGATGGGAAAAAACGAAATACGTTCCGTCGTCTTTTCGGTGTCCTTTTAACTGGCTCGCTGAGCCACATTCGGAGGAATGAGTAACAGTAGAACTCGGCTCTTACCGGATGAGGTCCGGTCGACATATCGAGACAGTTGTTGAAATATCACGCTCAACGCGATCGTTGCCAATGGCACTGCTCGCCACGACTTTGTGTGAACTTATGAAAGGTATCGTCGTCGGAATGTGTACGAATTCTTAGCCACAGAGGTACATCTTCACGAGGCTATGTCCTGTCTTACTGCTTCCACTCTCACGGCCGGCCTTTTGTGTCCTTTGCGATTGGTTGAGTGCGGATGCAAAATGTACATCTTGGGGTCCCACCAGGGGAACTCGTAAATAGGATAAATCCCGAGTACAGAGCGATGTTCTTTAATAGCAAAGGCGGGCCACTGAATATTAAAAGCCCCCCGTTTTTACTAACAGCTTGTTTCAGGACAATCCCTGCATACAAATTACGATTGGGAGCGTTGGCGCGGTCCGGTTCCTCCGTGATCACGTGTTGCATTGCCGTAGATTCCCGTACCTAAAACCGAGACCATCACTAGTCATTGCCGATTCCCTCTCTTGGACCTAGCGATACGGTTCCAACAGGATCTTAAAGGTCGGAATGCATACCACAGTCATGCAAGCTAGTATTTCCAGGGCAATCGAGGATGAGCCGGTAATTGCCTTACCAGATTCACCGATATGCAATTACCGCTCGAGCGCTCCACATGGATCCATGGTACGTGTGCAGTGAAAGGCGCGATAGTCATTCTATACTGATTGAAGGCAGGGACGAGGAAAAACTGGCATCCGGTCCGAGCCAGTGATAATTTTGGACCCCAACATCGAACTCATTGTCCGCAATGGTCATGTTCTCTATGACTCTACCTTCTGCTTTTACAATACGCCAGGTCAGTCGCAACAATTTTTCTTCAACAGTCCTAGTCAGAGCTCAGAAACACGAAATTCCGCCGTCCCGTCAGAGTTGTAGAAGACATTCTGGGTATTTATTTATCTTACCACAGCTCGCACTATGCTGACCATGGTTATTCTAGGCTTATATCACTGAGATGAACCCATGCCGTATCACGCTGTTCTTTCTCTTCCACGGTGATCTCGCTCATGTGTGGCAGAAGTAAACCTATTCTTTTCGTCTCCATTCATTGCTTACTGGTCTTTAGATCGACTCTTGCATTCCTTGCTCAAGAATAACAGTTAATTCTCTGGGATCGTGTCGCGTCGTTCGCCAGGCAAATGGACGTTATTATGCAAAGCTGCGCTATGAACGATGGGAAGCTGCAATATCCCTGAATCCTGCCCTAAAGTTCACGTGACCCCGATCCGTCTCCTTTTTCCATTTAATATTTTCTGCTCCTAAAGGTTACCCGTCGTGCTCGTGTTCTCATCATGCCAATATATTTTCCACGGGATATTCTCATTTTCATGTATATCTCTCTTCCTTGCCTCAATCGGAAAGCAAAGAGAGATAGGTCATCACAGCGGCGGAGTCTTTCTAGGTTGGCTGACGATGTATCAAGATGTGCTCAGGACTCAAATCTTGTTTGATCAGATGTCTGCTTCTCGTTTTTAATATTGTGAAGTCCCAGCCCACCCCTTTATTGGATCGACGAGATTCATGCACAATCCAAGTCTCATCATCGTCGAAGCTGCATTCAATAGAAACATGGACCCGACCGATTCTGCCTCCCTGTCGACGCCTCTCTCTGAAGAAGTTGTTGCTCTGGTCGTGTTAGATAACTTCTTTTTTGCGTTAGGTATCTGCTGCCTAATCTGCGACGTTGGTTTCGCTACTCAACGATCAATTTTGATAAAGGGAAAGCGATTCGGTTCGCGTGTTCTGGGAGACGTTTCTTTCCCTTTTGGCCTGCTCATTGGCCTTCAGCTTATATTGCAGGTCGGCATGGCTCTCTGCTGCTTGACGCAGTCCTGAAGTTAGTAAGAGGTTTGGTAGTTGGCAATAGGTAGCCCCAAACAGATAAGTGCACTGAACGACCATGTTTAATTCGTTTATCGCCTATGTATACACAAGACGATTTCACTTAGCCCCAATAAGCTCAGACAAGAGTACCAAAATACCACGCTGGACCTCTGCTGAGATTTGGCTCGACTTTCCCTCCTCTCTGTTATGCTATTGTGTACTTAGAATAGGCATTGGGGATTAACTTGTCTGAGCCTCAGTCTGGATTTGACGACCGCGCAGGCCAGTGGTGTCGGTATTGCAAGGAAAGTGTGTGTCTGTACGGAATTAGGTTGCATCGCCTCTCTATTACTAGCCGGATAAGATTTTAGGGTTAAACGTTAATCCCATAATCGTTTAATTCACCCTTCTTCCTCGGATCTCAGACAACTTTAAGGTTTTATCATTACACCTAGATTGAGGAAATACCATTTGCAGCGACGTCGGACTCAGACCTGATATGTCCAACCGGTGTCTTATTTATCTCGGACCTTCTACGTTGCTAAAGTTTAAATCCCTCCCTCCTCCTCACTGAGCCTTAGGTAAGGTGACAACCAATGTTCGGATGTGGTGTTTCCACTCTGGGAACAATGCACTGGCAGCACGATGATGGAACCATATCACTAGGTCCAAGAGAGGGAATTGGGAATGGCTGGTGATAGTCTCAGTTGTAGCTACAGACAAGCAGGAATCTACGGCAATGTAACACATGATATTGGAGGAACCAGACTGTGCCAACACTCCCAATGACTCACTTCACATCACATGAAGGTGTTTTCTTTTTTTCTTTTTTTTTTTGATGGGGGCTATCACAGAAGCAGTCCAGTGACATAGTCACTTCCAATGTGCAGCCAATTACCTTTCTCCTATGGATTTCAAACCAAGGATGAGGCACTGAGGCAGAAATGCAATTTACAGATGAATGGTCTGAAGGCTGAATAGTGTGGGACTCAGCTTATGCAATACCCACTAAAACTGGGTTCAAACCTTGCTTTCACAGACCCAGGGATATTGGTTTTACCCAAATCCAGAGACCAGACTACTCTGCCATCTGGCCCCTTCATGAAAGTGTTTCTCTTCCTCAAAAAGCTCAATCTTTGGTGTGGGTGGGTCACTTCCTTTCTCCTTCCTCCTCAATAATAGTTCATCTCTATGACTACTCATACCAGTCTATGTGCCCAGTCACTATTGCCAGCTACATGCATGTGAAAAAGCTCGATATACACAATAGACTCACTGTCCTCGCCGAATCAGCCTGCTGGGCTCCTCGACAGCCTGAGCGAACCATTGAAGAAGTTGATACGGATCCTTCGTCCCTCTGTTCTCTGCCGCGACTTACGTGGTGGTTCAAGACGGGCTCGTCCTTGTCCTCGCAGGTCGGCTCTTCTTACTTAACGCTGTTTATAGAAAGTTGCCGACAACTAGATACACGGTGAAGGAGGAGGAGGGCACTGTGCGTACTAGGTGATGCCAGGGATACTTTGTTCGGTGATCCTGAGACGTATCTGACCTGGGTTCTCAGTGGATCTGTTGGTTCGGACAATGGCCAGAAGGGGAGCGTCTCGGTTGGAAAGGGGTACGTACATGCACAGATTGTTATTATACATTTATGTCTGACACATTTCCCAGAAGGTGCATGAAGGATAACCCAATCGTTCATACAACAAAGTATAGTTCACTATCATACCCCAGATCGGAATTTCTTCCTGAAATCTTGTCTTAGGAAACTGATTCGTCCTCTTCCCAAACCTACTCATCCTGAGGACAGGGACCTCTCCATGACGCGACTTGTCTCCGATCGCTGATCTACCTGGATCAATTCCGAGCCAAAAGAGAATCAAGAACGGTACAGAGTGTCTTCACTTCCTGCAACAGGACCTATGGGTCCAAAAGAACAGCACCGAACCGCAACAGGTCCTTTGCAGAAGTTGCGGGAAGGCCATCCATGGAGAAAAGGAACACAAGCTCTGAGAGTAATACACTGGCGGCATATTACCTGAAGGGGTGGATGAAACATAGGTATGTTTGCCCGATCATACAAAAAAATCGGTTGATCGGGAATGGGTACGATCCGGAGATTAAGCTGTTGACGAAAAGGAAGGAGGATCGTGAAAGGGCGCTCGGGACAGGTTAGTTTTGGTAACTTACTTTGTGTTAATGAAATTTCCAGTTGAAGAATTAGAACAATGGAATTTCATATTGATGCATGCTGTCATGGGTGATTTAGGGAACTGGGGGAGATTGTGGGCGCGGAAATATATATATATATGCAGTCTCAAATCCTAGACCTCAGAGAAGATGTGAAAGACATGAAACATGAGCCGGTCAGTTTTATATGTCAACGTGAGGATAAAAGGTAAGGAAGGAAGTGAAGTGAAAGGTACGGCGCGAATCCTTCCGAGTCTCGATGCAGGCAGACAATTCGGACGATTTGTACAGCTATATTTCCCAGTCGGAGCATTGGAAAAGTGGTCCGTGCACATGGTGGGTGGAGGATCGGCACTAGCGGGTGCTTGAATGATAGGCTGTATCTATCATCTCCAAGATTACGCGTTCTACTTGGTGAGACCGTACATGAATTCAGATACTGATCTTCCGAAGGAATATTCACGGACCGGACGACAAGGAAGTTTCCGCCGATTTAGATATGTCCTAACATAAGAAATCTTCGTACAGCAGAAATTCGTCAGGCCTTTTTGACGTCCGACAAAAAAGAAATTGCTCTGATGAGTTTGTACATCCGAGGTTTGGTGGATCCAGATTTGATGGGCAGGGGCGTCGAACTACGGGAGCCTCAGGGGGAAAGTCCCATCAATGTTTTCCTATGGCCGCTGATCCTTGGCTGAGGTCCAACTTGGACTGCATCTCCAAAGGTAAGTATTCGTTCCGGAACCATAAGTTGAAATAGTAGTCCTACAACTACAATTCTTCAAAGACGTAACACTAGTGCTGCCAGGGCCCAGGCTAGCAGCTTGCTTTAGGGACGAACTTGACACTTGTCACCCTCCTACCCTGGGTACCTATTTTGTATTTGCATTACAACGTGCACGGTTAAGGTTTAGATCTTCGGTTCCAAACTTGCCACTCTAGGACTCTCCTCAAATAGCGAACTTCCCGAGTACTAGTCCCTTCCTTTTCTCCCCACTATGACTCACAACACCGCCTCGTTTAATCATTCTCATTTCTCGGTGGGCACATGACTTCGCTGCATACCGGTAGTTCTAAGCACACCAAATTCGATGACCTCGTCTTGCCAGCTGCAACAGCGTGTAGCGCGCCTCGTCTATCGATGAGGCCATCGAATGAGATGGTTGGAATGGATATATCCCACCGTGTCAACCCATATCCGCCATTGACCACCTGGTATAAGAGGGACTCGGATTTGTCGACGTAAGTGGACTTCTCTCGCAATAGCATCCCACTAAATCTGGCGACTAGGATGTATGCTGGACGCTCGTCAAAGAGAATGAAAGGGGGTTGGAGTATACATCCTCTTACTAGTACCAGGTGACAGTGGTTCCAGGATACTTTGTCCGTGAGCCATGTCTGATTCCGTTCTTAGCAGCTCCGTCGACTTGGACGACGACAATAACAAAGACGATGAGCATGTATCGGATCGTAAAAGGTACGTTTGCCTCGTTTCCTCCCACCCCGATGCGAACGATGATGAATTAGAGATGCGCACCCGAGCGAAACCTTGCTCGACTCCGCGGAGCTGAGAAAGACGTTTTTGCGGCGTCTTGTCCAGCCAGCTCAATTCCCAGGAACAAAGGTGAGCAAGATGGACGAAAAGCGCCTCCAATTTCTTCAACAGGATCCTTGCGTCGACGTCGAATCCATCACCAAACAACGTGTGGTGTGCAACAAGTGCGGGACTCCCGTCAAATTGGACAGCCGGGGGAATGCTGCATACTATGCCAGCACGTGGGTGGGGAATAAGAGGAGACGCGTGGAAATATACGAGGCCTGGGTGGAAGAGTATGGGTATGAGGACCAGAGCTGGATAGAGGCGGCAGAAAGACGTAGGGATGCGAGGTTGGGGATGAGCGTTACTGCGGAGGAATACTGTATATTTGTAACTTGTTCACAACTACGGCTTGTTTGTAGTGTAGTGTAATTTGAGCTGGTGAGCCCGAATAATTGACTGGGTCGCGACTCGTGAGTCTCGCCTGAGCAATTAGATAAGGAGAACTCGGCCATGGTAATAACTCTGGAATTTTCAGAACTGTACTGTCGAGGAACCAAGAGTATGGCACCAATAAGGGTAGAACTGAATAGCTGAAAGAAAAGTGCCAGCAAAGGCGGTTAGAAGAATAACAAATCCATCTTGCATGACGGGGAGTAGCACGTTTTGAAGTATGGACTTATATTTTTAATTCTAATGAAGATGCGCATGGTGTAGGGCCATCGTCACGTCAACGAGGGCGTCGTTCGCCTTCAGGAAGGCCGATGGTGGTTGTGCGAATCGTGCTAGGTGCAGGCCAATGCCAAACATCCACAATCTTTTCAACCAACCACCATCACAATGGATCCCTTTCCTGTGTCATGATACACCAGGTAACTGTACCAGGTAGAAAACAGGTCTATTTATCAGTTTTCTACTAAGTAAGTTATATTGTAGCCAGTACAGAAAGTAAATAACAAGTAAGAACACTAGTGCTAGTACCTGGTATAGAACAGATCACTCCCAGTACTTAAACAGGTACTGGTAGGTTTGACCTGTGTTCTCGTTAGGTGTGCCAGATACCAGGTCTTGGAATAAGAGCTGAAGGATTGGCATAATGACAGATCCTGCAGCTTGATCTGTGGCCTGGCTGGACTGATTGACCAGGTAGCCATGTATGAGCTCGTACCTGCCAGAGAATGAATTCAGCCTACCTGGTTGGCTCAGCAAGTAGATTAGTCAGTAGACAGTTATGTTAGTCAGACATAGGTAGTTAGATAGTATAAATACCAGTCATGTATAGAGGGTGGGCAGGTTTTCTGGCATCCCAGAATGCTACCAAGTGAATAGTATGGGTTGTATTTGGCTAAAAGCTTCAAGTTGTAGACTCAACCTGAATAGTGTTGTGGTGACCAGGTCACTTTGTTTTGTGCAAGGACCCCTAGAAAGCAACTGAAAGTTTATATCACACAGTCAGAACAGACTTGAGACAGTTCAGAACAGTCAGCATTGTGTATAAGTCACAACCAGGTGTATTGTATCAATCCAGAAACTGCACAAGACAGTCAGTACAAGTTCAGAACCTGCACCAGGCAGACCATTTGAGATAAGTTTTGTTGTGTTCAGCAACACAGACAACTTTGTTCAAGCAAACTGCAATATATTGTTATGATTTTCTATTTTCTTCCTGGGATTTGACCCCTATTTATGCTTAGTCAGGGCACCAGAACAAGTGCTTAAGACCATGGAATAAGGCTTAGTCATCACAACTAGCCAAGTCTGTCATTGTCTTTTGATGCAACAGCATTGCTTGATGACACACAACCAGCCTTTTATGTATGGTAATGATGCTCCAGAACAATGCACACAAAAACAGAGAGATACACAATAAGTATGTAGTATTATTAGCAGACCTTGTTCAGTATTTAAGGAGCTTGCTCTTGCTGGTAATCCTCAGCTTTGAGC